GCCTTTAATCCCAGCACCCGGGAGACAGAGGAAGACGGATCTCTATGAGTTCGAGGCCAGCCTGGTCTTCAGAGTGAGTGTCAGGATAGGCTCCAAAGCTACACAGAGAAACCCTGTCTCGAAAAACCAAAGGAAAAAAAAAAGAAATCTGAGTCTTAGCAAATCAAAGAGATAGTCCTATGGTTACATAATCAATCATCTATTTTTCTATAGTACAATTGAAATACTCAAATCTGTATAGTAAAAGGTCCATTATTAGTGAAAATTATATTACATTTTTTTGGTCAAACTGTCTATCTACTCTCCCTTTAAATTGAGATTTACCCAACCTCAAGGCACAGATCATCAAAACTGTTGGGTTTTAGGGCAGGAGAGAGATGACTGATCAGTAATAATGACTGATTTTTCCACGAGAACTGAATTTTATTCCCAACACCCACATTGTGGCTCTCAGGCATCTGTAACTATAGCTCCAGGGGATCCAACACACTCTACTGGCCTCTGAGGCACCAGGCAGAAATGTGGTTCACATCAGATAAGCAGGCCCAAACATCTATATATAATATATAAATTTTTAAAAATATACTATTGTATCTTGTGGATCAGAGTTTAAACAAATTATCTAATGAGTCAGCTTCTTACCAACATGACATACATTTAACAATTACATATTTTTTAAAAAGAACTTCAAATTAGTATTTTAGCATAAAAACATATTTAAAAACTTGTCCCTCAACAGTGATCATTCAGTGCCCAGTAGCATAGTAAGGTTTCCTGCTAAAGATGCTTGCTGGAACTTGCAGAACTTTGGCCACTAGGAAATATCCTCATTTCTACAATAGATCTGTTACTTATGATTTAATTAAGATTGCCTGAAGATCAGAGAAGCAAAGAAACCAAGTCTGTATAGATCTTACCTCTACCCAGCTAAAATGGCAATCCTGTCTCCAAGAATCCTTAGAGGCAAAATTTCTGAATTCCTGTCTCCTTTTATTCCTTTCTCCATCCAGTCATATCCTCCTGTCCCATCCCCCCTCCCCCACCCCTCCTGCTCCCCCTCTCTAGTTCTGGGATCAAAGGCATGAGTTCTGTTATTGTTCCATCTTGTGTAGGCTAGGCTGGCCTTGAACTCAGAGAGATCGACCTGCCTGTGTCCTGAGTCCTGGGATTAAAGGTGTGTGCCACTAGTGCCTAGCTTCTACAGCTAACTAGTGTGGCTAGATTTTCTTTCTGATACTTCAGGAAATCTTTATTAAATCATAAATAATATATCACCACACAGACCTACACTGTTTCTATTGAGGGCCTAAATGGAACTTTGACTGCTTTTTAATTCTGTTTTTGAATAGCATCTAAAATTACTTTAAGATTTTCTTAAGGATACTTCCTGTAGACAGTTGGGAAGAGACAGCTGGGAATGTACCAAGAAAAGGAGAAAAGTGAAAAGGACGATAAAGAGAGATCATTCACAGGACACACTGAAATTTTTCACAGAATGATACAGAATTCAAGAGACTAGAGTAAGAGAAAGGTAGGATAGAGGAGGGAGTGGGGGAAGAGGGAGGAAAGAGGTTGGTAGTAATAAAGTCTGCCTATTGGGGTCCTGTAATTAGTATAAAACTTCATTATTTGTTTTATAACTGATATCTTCACCAATCTATCAGTAAAAGACATACTGAATTATTTACTTCTCCTTTTGGAAAAATGAAATAAAAATATAAAAATCTTCCTGATTCCATAATAAGTAAACATTATAGGAAGCCACTAAATTTTCAATTCCTACCTAAAATTTCAACAAGAATACTTTAGAGACACTCTATTTTTTTTCACTTTTGAGGAAGAATGAAATCTGTATCATGAGTGTTGTTTAAAAGTCTCATTTCGCCGGGCGTTGGTGGCGCACGCCTTTAACCCCAGCACTCAGGAGGCAGAGGCAGGCGGATCTCTGGAAGTTCGAGGCCAGCCTTGGTCTCCAGAGCGAGTGCCAGGATAGGCTCCAAAGCTACACAGAGAAACCCTGTCTCGAAAAACCAAAAAAAAAAAGTCTCACTTCTATTCAGAATAAAAAATGAAGAATCTTGGCATGGAGAATTATTCCTATCTGCTTCAACTTTTGTTTGGTGTACAGCCACTGAAAGTTGCTCTGGTGAGAGTACCTGTTCACAGATAAGCTATTACTGATAGGATCTTTATTGTTGTTATCTTCTATAGAAAAAAACACAAACAAACAAAAAGGCTCATTCCAAAGAGAAGACTCATAGTCTCTGGGTTGATTCTAACGATTTGATGAATTAAACCAAAGTTAAGAGTTAAGATTTCTTCAGGTCAATTCCTGTCATTGTGTTGTGTCATTCTACAGAGTTTTTCAATTTTTCAAACCCTGCATCTCCTTACCTTTTAAAGTCTTTTACAGAAAACTAAAGGCATTGACATAGATCATGACTAACCCAACAAGAAGAAGGAGCAGTAGGTTTAAAGTGTAAAGCTTGCTTAGGGTCCTGGCTCTGACATGTGTGTTCTATGAAAAATGGTCATAACACTTAATCTCAATGAGCTTCAGTTCCACTATTCGTAAAATTAATAGCTTAGTCTAGACATTCCAGGATTGAGAATTAGAAGAAATGCTGTTGTAACTCCTTTTTGTGAGCAGTGGAGTCCTGATAGCTCTTCAAGTCATCAGGAGCCAGGAGGACATCTCCAGATACTGACATTTCTTTCGGACAAGGCAGGTCAAAGGTTATTTGCTGCACTAAGTCATGTTTCAAGACTCAGAAGCCTGTGTGTTTGAAGTAGATAGTGACATAATACATGAATTTTTTTCTTTTTATTTTCTTTTTGTTACTAAACTATTGGCCTTTGGCTAAGGCCAATAATTAGTCTAGCTGTGACTAATTAGTAACTCATTTCTATCAGTCTAAGTATTCCCACAAATACATGAATTCTTTTTATTTCACTGTTCTCTATTCTAATTCCTGGACCCTTGCATATTTAGTAACCACAGGTCAACTCTGACAGCATAGAAGAAGTATCCTTAGAATCTTTATTTATAAAGGTGTTCTGGGTGACCTTGCTCTGTCACCCCTTGTGGTAGGGGGTGAGAAGACTCAGCACCAACGACTCAGGAACTGTGATTCAATGAGTAGTGCTGAAGACTCATTTATTAAGGAAGTTAAACCTGCCTTTATGTACCCTCCAAGGTCCTATTGGCTCAGGAGACTGACTCTGCTACATTGTCTTTTCCTCATTGATGTCTCTGGATCAGGTGTCTTTCAACAGTCTCTGGGCTTTGAGGCAGGCTTGGCAGTTTGACTCAGGAAGGAAGTGCTTGCAGTTCATGCTCAGTGGGCTGGCCTATGGTCTGGGGTTTGACTCAGGAAGGAAGTGCTTGCAGTTCATGCTCAGTGGGCTGGCCTCCACATGGATGGGCCCGGGGGCATGGTAGGCTGGCCACAGTTTCTCCTATAGAAAGGGAACTTAGAAAATTACTCCAGAGCCAGGAGGTCTTGGTGCACGCCTTTAATCCCAGCATTCGGGAGGCAGAGGCAGGCAGAGCTCTGTGAGTTCGAAGCCAGTCAGGTCTACAAAGCTACACAGAGAAACCCTGTCTTGAAACAAAACAACAACAAAAGTACTCCTTATAAATTGATGGCAAATAAAATGCAAAGCAAGCAAATCTCCAAGTTATTAACCAGCCAACAAAGTATTAGATGAGATTAACTCTGAAAATAAAAACATAAGTATAAATTTTACATAAGTATACATTTTAATTAGCAGCAAATAGGGAATGGAATTACAGCACTACTTCAGTAGGTTGATGTCAAGTTTATTCTTTGTATTTTTACCAAGACCATGGGATTGAGTATGTCAATGTGGTAGGCATAACTATAAATTTAAAATTGGTTTCCTCTGCATTCATTTTCAAATAACTAAACATGCTAAGCATGAGAAGTTAAAGGGAACATTCACGAACATATCTGCCAGTATTGAATGTTCTGGAAAGTAGGAAGTATAGCGTATGGTGTCAGGGCATCCCATACCAAGGACCACCTGGAAAACTGTTTCATAAATACTCCCCTGGAAATACGAGAAAAGGTTTGACAATTGTTTTACTCACCTTATATTTTTGGCCCTTGACTCCAAATGAGAACAGTGGCTAAGAAAACCTGAGAACTCATGGCACACATCTACTTTGCAGTATTTGTCAGCTAAGATGTTTCAAAACTATTTTCAGTGATTTTTTAAAATACTCCTTAAATTTTCTTTACACAATGAATTTACCCACTTATGTGATAAAAATAAAGACAAAAATCAGACCTGTTTTTTTTATTTTTTATTTTAGAAATTTAGCTTATTTAATCCTCAAACTTCCCATTGCTTTAATTAAAAACTAAAATATGAACTAAAAACAGTGAAACTAAGAAATTTTTCAAAGTCCAGGCTCTTCCAGCTTCCAAAGCAAGAGCTCTTTAGTTGTGTACACTAATTAGAAGAATAAGAAAAAATATGAATGGGAACCATGATGTTTCATAAAACATACTTTTATGTGACTGAAGAATCCTTCCTAAGTTACCCTTTAATTTCCTAACACACCAAAAAAATGAGTCCAAAGAATAAGTAATTTCCACAGTGACTAAGGAAAGTATTTGGCACATCACCTGAGCATAGTTAAATATCTCCCTGATTAGTTTCTCAAAAACCAGCAGAAGTCCATGTTTAAAATTCCTGATGATATTTCTAAACTGTTTTTCATCCTTCCTGAGAGCCAGTCACTTTCTCACACAGGATTGTTTTCTATTTCAGATGTAATATGACTCTAAAAATATTTCTCTGAAGTGAAAAAAAGAAATAGGTAGAATTTTGTTATTCTAAACATACCATTATAGAAAATTCCAGTGTAATCTATACAACAGTGAATGTTTTGAGGGGAATGAAAGTATTGCCTTTGCATATAAGAGTTTGTAAGGTCATAGCTGAATAACTATTATGTTCTTGTTTCTCAGGTATGAAATAATGAATTTCAAGGAAATGGGAAAAGATTATTTTGATTACATTAATGTTGGAAGTTGGGACAATGGGGAATTAAAAATGGATGATGATGAAGTATGGTCCAAGAAAAATAATATCATCAGATCTGTGTGCAGTGAACCATGTGAGAAAGGCCAGATAAAGGTAATATAGAACCCACACTTCTTTTATTGTTGCAAAATTAATAGTATTAGCTCTCATTGGGTATTTTTTTATTTGGCACTTGTTTTATATTTTATGTTATAAGCTTATAATGGCAGAAAATTAGTTTATTTCATAACTTATTCTGATAATTCTTTAGGAAGACTAGCATTCAACCCACCATAGTCTAGGTAGCTAATCTGGGTTCATTGATTCTACTGAGTTGTCATATTTTTCCTGCTCATTATTTCTGCATATGAATGTTTCTAAAGATAAATGGAATGATTCCTAAGAATGAGCGGTTTAGAGCTAGAAAACATATTTAACACATACCTTCAAAATCCTTGAAAGAATGAATAGAGATTTCTTGGCATGTCCTCTATCATGTTGTATAGGATATATCTTATATAATGGTAGAGCTTGATTCCCTGTCTCCATATTCTTAACATTGACTACATATTTGCATCTCCTTGGCTACTCATTTTTAAATTGCTTTCTGTGTAGATCTCATTTGTACTCTATGCAATATACATTTGACATTTTCTTCTTAATACATCTCAGAGTTCTAATTGAGCACCTTCATTCAGAATAACCTCTTCTGGCATCTTGTCCAGAGATTTATGAACTTGGTTTTCCATGGAGGATTGGCATTTTTTCAGTGACAGTGAAAACACCTTTATTTTCTGTATGTTCATAGTTGGAACTGCTAGGTAAGAGCATTGCCACTATGTCTTATAATAAGTAATGATGTGAATCAAAACAGAGCATGCAAAAAGTTAAGCCAAATTGGTTTTGAATAATTGAAAAAATATATCAAGTTGTTGCGATTCAAGGAGACTGTTATATGGGAATTATTCTTGGAAAAGTGAACACATTTAGATTGGCAAAATATTGACATTTATAACGAATGGAAAATGAGCCACAGGCTGTCAGAATATTTCAAGGGTAAAAAACTCAGTATCTTAAATTTGCCAACCCCTGTAAAGGTCTAGAATGAGAATCTCATTATTTTAAATAAATCTACTTAAATTATATAATCTAAGAATTGTCTAAGAGTAGTTCAGATTACGCTGAAAATGAAATTCTCCCTTCCAAAGTGTATTGTGTGTGTGTGTGTGTGTGTGTGTGTGTGTGTGCGCGCGCGCGCGCGCGCGTGTATTACTAATAAAAATGGGTTATTTTATATTTTAAAGCCTTACATTGTACCAATCACTGATCCTAAGGAAGCTCTATAAAATGAAATAAGTTTGAACAAGAGGTATCTGGTTTAGTTTCTATGCAGCCACATTAATCAGAATTTTAAATACTCCCCTCAGGTGATCCGGAAGGGAGAAGTCAGCTGCTGTTGGACCTGCACACCTTGTAAAGAGAATGAGTATGTGTTTGATGAGTATACCTGCAAGGCATGCCAGCTGGGGTCCTGGCCCACTGATGACCTGACAGGTACTTGTATCAGTGTCAGTACATTCATTTGAAATCAACTAAAAAGTGATGCAACTATGAAGAGGAAAGGTTCATGCCTCCACATATCTGTCAATGTGCATAGTCTAGTGTTCAGAGAATTCACTGGGAAACAGAAGTCTTCCCAAAACCTGCCTCATCATGGAAGGCTTTAGATTATGGAAGAACTTCTGCCTGATTTCTCTCCTCACTCCCAAACAGAGCTCTTTGCAATCTACTGGGTGTAGTCATCTTCAGAAACATTGCACACAGTCCTAAGAGACTGACATACATCACCAGTCCAAGAACATGAAGAGAATTTCTTTTAGCTAACATTGTATCTTTTTCTTTGTGGTGTTTACATTTTTAAACCTAAACTTGCAATGTTGCTTTTAAGCAAAGTTGACAAAGGACAAGACAGCCTGCCCTTGTTTATTTGTTTGAATTTGGTTTAATTTAGGGTCTTTATTCCAAAGGCTACTCCTATATGCCATAATGTTAATTCCTTACTCTACCTTTATTTCCAATATTCCAAATAAGAAACTGAAGTCCAAATGACCACAACTCTCCTTCCAACCCATCATCAATATACTCAATGTGCATTTTGCCTAAAAATGATATAAAGACACAGAAATTAATATTATCCCTCTGTCTTACAGAAGCTTACATAGATACAAAAATATGCAAACATCATTAATATAATAAATGTAAGTGAAGATAACCATATCAAGTAAATTAATTCAAATACAAAGACAAATATTATATGTTCATCTCATTTGTGGGTCCTAGACTTTATAGAAACATAGAATCATACATGCATAAAAGATATGAAAATAGAAGCAATACTATGTAGGGGAGTACACAGGAACAATGAGAAGGGATAATAAGAATAGAGATGGAATATGTTCCAAGAGCATTATATGTTTGCTTGAAAATGGTCTTCCATATCTTAGTATAATAAAATGAGGCCTAAGAGAACACTCCTCTAAGAGTACTCACTGGGATATGTTTCATGGCTCCAGAATTAAGATGGATTATAGCACAGAATTCCTAGAAAACAGACCATAAGATCATCAGTGTTAAGTCCCTCCCTCCCTCATGGAATAAGTGATTACCCATGGCCATTGTACCAGCTTACATCAAAGCCCTGGTTATAAAGCCTGTGATTGGGAGCCTTTTGAGGCTTGCTCATATTAAGAGTTCTTATTAGTAAGTGGTATTTATACATAAGATTTCCTTCTTAAAAAGATTTAATAAAACATCCAAGTGCCTAGTGATAGTATTGAGCCGTGTTTTACCATTAAACAAGCTTTCTGAAGTTTTTAGGCATTCCAAAGCTGACTCAGTGCTGAGCAGTAAGTCAAAATGACTTTTTGGAGTAGATAAATTATAATAGGTATGTATATGCACACAAAATTAAAGTGCCTACAAGACAAAATTTATTATGATTAGTTTTCTGTGAGTTTAGTGTGACAGAGGATTTGGTGATGTTTTCTTTATATTGATCCATTATGTTTTGTGATTTCAAATTATATTGCTGCTGAATTTTAAATCTCTTGTACACTGCCAGGAGGTGGTGGTGCATGCTTTTAATCAAAACACTTGGAAGGCAGAGGCAGGTGGGTCTCTGTGAGATCAAGGCCAGCCTTATCTACAGAGGGAGTTCCAGAACAACTAGGACTGTTATATAGAGAAACCTTGTCTCAAGAAAAAAAGGACACTTGTATCCTCAATAATCTTGCATGATTAGTTAACTTTTCAATGAATACAGTGGTTCATTGGTATCTGTGGGGATTTTGGTTTCAGGTCCCCAGACAAATGCTAGAATCCCCTCGGTAAATCTACTTAAATACCTTAAATAAAAGAAAATGGGATTATATCTACATATCACCTTCTCACAACCTCCATAAGTATTAAATCATCTGTATTTGGTTTATAAGACTAAATGCAATATAAGCAGTTATATAAAGACTTGTCATAAAATAGTTATGAAATAATGACAAGAATGTGAAGACAATACTTGATTAACACAGATAATTTTTTTCTGAATTTTCCTATTTGCCTTCAGTTGTTTGAATCCATGAGTGTAGTAACCATGGATACAGCCAACACAATGCTTCTAATTGTAACTTTTTGTCTTTTATCTTCTAAGATGATGCTATTGAAAGTGAACATAGCCTATTACTTCATTACCTCAATAGATACATATTTTATTATTGCCATTTTGATTGTAATAATGGATGATATAGAAAGTAAATGGAGAACAAACCAAGTTAGTTCTCACATTTGATCTCAGTAATATAGTCTTTTATGTACCTTGTCCTGCTGTGAGAAGTTTTAAACACACACACACACACACACACACACACACAGAGAGAGAGAGAGAGAGAGAGAGAGAGAGAGAGAGAGAGAGAGAGAGAGCAAATTGTGCAAAATAAGCAAAAGAAAACCAGGTAAAATGAAAATATTTGATAGAGAACATATAACTTAAAGTTGTGGCCACAAAGTATTTCTTAAAAAAATGACTTATGTGATAAATAGTAATTGCTAGCAAGTGACAGGAGAAATGACATTCCTGACCAAGAAGAAAACACATACAGGAAGGCAGAAGATGTGATAATATTGTTAGATTTCAGAATGTATCAGGGCAAGATCCAATGCCCCCTAGAAGAATGTGCTCAGGCTTTGAGTGTTGAATTGTCAGTAGAGTGAGCAACCAGTGCAAGAATTTCAGTGGATGCAGCGGTATGATAAATTGTATCTTCTTATAGTATTCTCCTTTCAAATAGACAGATTGGATGGTCATTGCTCCAGTAGACAAGCTATCTTGCTGTATTTAACTAAACAGTGCATTAACTATCTGAGATACGATTTGGTATAAAATCAAAAATACCTACAGACAAACTGATGCAGAAGGTGTTAAGCAAGACTGTCAAATTTCCTACCTTAAACATGAGAGGAATAATTGCATTTGCTCATAAATATCTAGACTTTAGTGCTAGATCTGAGCAATTTGAGATGCCTTTTCCGATTGTTAAATAGGAAGTATTTAATTTTAAAAGTTGTGGCTTTAATGTGCACCAGAACATGTGCCATAGGCTAGAAATAGAAGATAAAATTAAGTTTCCAGGAAACTTAAAATTTGGCTAGAGAAAACTTTGGTTAAAAAAACAAGTAACAACACTGTGCATTTAGTATTATAGGTGCAGAATGAACAGTATTAAGAATGACTGGAGAAATAGAGAAAGTTTAACCTTGAAATATAAGTCAACATTCTCAGGGAAAGTGACAATGATGATTCTAGAAGTGGTTCCTCTAGTATCATTAAAATCATACCCTAGAAATGATGTAGGGATGGCTAATGCACTGCTTTCTTGTCTCATATAATAGGCACATACATTCTTATGCGCTTTTGGCTCAAAAATGTCCTTGTATGAAGACAAATTCCGCACAGCTACTTCCCCTTTCTTCTAGCACAGTTAACTTTTTGAATAAGTAATACACACTCACATTTTCAAACTTTCTCATACTTGATTCATTAAAGAAACTCTTCTATTCTGTTCTGCTATTAGAAAGATCCTGACAAAAGACCCTAGGTCTACCATAATTTGGAACATCATGGTCATTTGTCATTCATTATTTCACAAATGTATCTGTTCAGTGAAATGGGCTTGATGCTGAACATTTTGGAAGATATTACGAGCCAGGTTTCTCTGCCCTACATAAATATCATTTCTGATTTTTGCTTTATTTTGTTTTGTCTTTTTGGGGTAGGAGACGAGAGCTGTTGTTGACTGTTTTATACAATCTAGGCCATTTAAAATGGGTGCTTGCACAGCTTATTTGTTAGCTCACTGTGTTTTTCCTGTTCAAAGTCTTCCCAAAGGATTTGATTTACTTTGATCTTTTAAATATCTGACAATGCCATTGCACTACAATTGTTGTCCTGCTCTACCTCATTCTTTTCCTGAAATTCAGATGTGGAAATATGAATTCCAAATGTATTTTCTTCTTCAGTCTGCAGACAGGACAGCCAGGCATTGACAAATCCAAATCCTGAGGTGTATGCTTGTGTGTGTGTGTGTGTGTGTGTGTGTGTGTGTGTGTGTGTGTGTGTGTGTGTGTGTGTGTCCTCATAGAGGACAGCAAATGGGTATACTTTGCCAAACAGTCATCGGGTACCAATATCAAAAGTGTGAATCATAAAAAGAGCTCTGATCTACAAAAAATGACATTTCAAATGTTCAGAGCTATAATAAGTGGTTAGATGTTATATCAAGGATGACCAGAACAATGTGGAAACCCAGATCAATAGACATTAACAGTTGCAGCTGAAAAATCACTTCTTCAATAAAGTGCATGTACATATAAATCAAAGTAAAATGAGTAGCTTCCTACATTAAAATTAAAGAGAAGAGTGTTTATGAAGCTAAAAATGAGGGTCCAAGAAGAAACAGTATGGAGAAGACAGCCAGGACAGCAAAGCAAATTCCAAGGCTTTTAGTGTTCTAAAATCATGGTAAGTAAGATTAAAGCCATTTATTTATTCAGTCATCTAGTAATCCACTCAATGAAAGCTATCTAGTGCCATCTCTGACCTAGATAAAAAGAAGGAAAATACCATTTCCTTCTATCACCCATGTACATCTTGTGAAACCTCTGTGTCAAGAGATAGATTAACAAGAGAAAAATGTCATAGTTATTCAACACAAGGTTTAGCTTTTGAGCCTTATGTTAGCCTCTTTTGTTTTCCTTTGTTGGCTCTCTGTGCTACCCAGATTGGTCTTCAAGTCCCAGTCTCACCTAATTCTCTTGCTTAGGTTTCATGAAGAGCTGGACCTCAGTACACTACAGGCCTATGCTACTATACCCATTTTGAAGTGACATAAAAACTCCCACAAAGCAAATTAGACCTGAGGGAGTAGTTAAAGCTGAGTGTTTATATGTCTAAGTTTGATATAAAAGAGGAGAGTTGGGATAACCTGTGTTAGGGAAGTCGTGGC